GGCTGAGCTCGCGCTTTGAGGGCACTCCTTGCTCGCAGGACAGAAAGGGAGGCCGGGAGGGACAGGCAAGCTTCGCACGGCGGTGGTCGGATGGCACGGAGAGCATCTTCCCCCAGGCATCTGCAGGAGAGGGGGGGAGAAGGGAAACGGGGTGAGAAGCACGGCCAGAAATCCCTGTGGCCGTCTCAGCACAGAGCCATCTCAGGAAACAGATATTGAAAATAACAAAACTCCAGTGGGGTTAAAAACATCCCACCCCCAGGACACTCCTGGACTGTGATGACCAAAAACACTCCAAGGGACTCAGGTCCACAGAACACAGCAAGGACCATGGGATGCTCAGCTCAGCACCTGTATGATGCTGTGAACCAGTGTCCCTGGCACTGCCGTGCCAAACCAGCTCCAGGGCATAACATAATAAGATAAAAGATAAATAAACCATTTAATATAATCTGTCTCTGGAGTGTCCCCATGCCCCCAGCACACCAGCTGCCTCCCTGCCTCCTGTGCAGCCACATCTGCTGCTGAGGGCACGAGCTGTGCTGCAGGCAAACCTTTCCATCTCCGTGGGATGAGGTCTGAGGGGGTTCTGTGATACTGGGAGAAACCCATCAGAATGGGGGCACCATTCCCCCTGGCTGGATTTGGGGGGATATCCAGGTTTTGGTGCTCCAGCAGAGGAGAATGAGCTGCCTGTGCTGAGGGAGGTGGGGACGGGGGATTTGGGGCTGCACTCACTCACCGCCGCTCGGCCCCGGGACTATACGAGCCCATCGTAGAGGGAGAGCGCCTGCACGATGGAGGGGTCGGCCTTGGAGCCCTCCTGAAACTCCTGCAGCGTCAGCTTCCCGTCTGCATTCTGCAAAACACTCCTGTCACTGCACTGCTGCACCTGGCACAACCACACCAGCCCATGCACCCTCCCCACCCCGCTGCCTCAGCCTCAGTTTCCCCACTGAGTCACCCATGGAGGGGACAATGCCACCCTGGAGAGCCTGAAATGGGTACAGGGGTCCCAGAGGGATGTGGGCATCCCACAGTGATCCTGAAATGGGTACAGGGGTCCCAGAGGGATGTGGGCATCTCACAGTGACCCTGAAATGCACACAGGGATCCCAGAGGGATGTGGGCATCTCACAGTGATCCTGAAATGCACACAGGGATCTCAGAGGGATGTGGGCATCCCACAGTGATCCTGAAATGGGTACAGGGATCCCAGAGGGATATGGGCATCCTACAGTGACCCTGGAATTGGTACAGGGGTCCCAGAGGGATGTGGGCATCCCACAGTGACCTTGCCAGCAGCTGAGATCTTGTGTTGGTAGGACAAGAAGGCACCTGCAGGAGTCAAGATGCAGTAAAGGGACCCACAGCACTTCCTAAATCCCTTGGCCACAGGGGAAAAACCCTCAAGCATCCTCACCTTGTCCATCATGGCAAAAATCCGATCCACCCTCTTCTCTGGTGTGTTCTCCTCCTCAGGAAGCTCCACTGTGTTCCCCTGCAGCAGCAGGACAGGGCCAGGTCACACACCCACCTGTGGCCTGCCTGGAGGGTGTCCCCAGGTGAGGATTGTCCCCCCACACACATCAGGACAGGGTGCAGGGGGACAAACTTGGCACCAGAACCACCCTCAGGACCAGATCCAGACACTGCCCTGGCCATGATGGCCACGATGGTCACAACCCCCCATCAAAAGAGGCCAAAGAAGGAACTGGGGGTGTTTCAGCATTCCCACAGAGCTGAGCTCCAGCCCAGCAGGCCTTGCTTGCCCCTCTTACCACCATCTGATAAATGGCATCCACAATGTCCAGCATCTCGTTCCTCGTGATGTATCCATCGTTGTCCAGGTCATACAGCTTGAACGCCCCTGTGAGACAGAGCAGCCCAAGGGGCTGGGACTGTGCCCCACCCTGGACATGGACACACACCCAGCACCCTGTGGGGCTGAGCCCAGCAGCAGCCCCTGGGCAGCACTTACACCTCAGCTTCTCGTCCAGCGTGCCCCGGGAGGTGACCGACAGCGCCTGGATGAACTCTGAGAACTCGATCCTGCCATCCTGGGTGAGGAAAACAGGAAAGGAGGGGTCAGGCTGCTGCTGCCATTCCTGCCCAGCAAAGCTCTCCCTGCCCATGTATCCCCTCTGGGGGGCACATCCCAAAAGGCAGCAGGGAGGGAGGAGTGATGCATGTTCACCCCCAGCACTGTGATCCAGCACCCAGAACATCCCAGCGGGAGCAGCTCTGGAATGCAGGGGGCACCACAGGAATGGGCTTTTGTCAAGGCACCAGAACACCACTTCTCCTTTCCTGCCTTGCCACCTCATTGCCCTTCCCCACATGATTCTCCCCAACTAAAATAAGCACTGGGGCTCTCTCCAGCTGCACCACTGCAATTTCACACCCCAGGAAGTGCTGGAATATTCTGCTCCTCCAGTGCCAGGCAGACACATCCCAAACCCATCCCACCATCACCACGGGCCCAGCCCTGACCCCCCTGGACTGAGCCTCTGGATCCCAGACTTACCTTGTTCTCATCGAAGACATTGAAAACAAAGGTGGCGAATTTGGTTGGGTCTCCGAAGGGGAAGAATTGCTTGTAGATCTTCTGAAAGCCGGCAGCATCGAGCTGCCCGCTGGGACAGTCCTTGATAAAGCCCTTGTACCTGTGGGTAGAGGGCACAGCATGGGCCCAGGAGGGCTCCCCACTGATTTGGGAGGTTCTCCCCAGTGCTGCAGTGGGCTGGAGCTGGGGAGGTCCCCAGGTGCTCCCTGTGTCACTCCCATCTGTAGCCAGGATATTTTCTGAAAAATCCTTTCCTTAGGATTTTTTCTCCTGAGAAGCTGAGAGGCCTCAGGAGCAAAATGTAAACATTGATTATCTGCTGCTGTGCAATGCAACAGGTGCATCTGTGATTGGTCTCATGTGGTTGTTTCTAATTAATGGCCAATCACAGTGCAGCTGTCCAGACTGTCTCAGTCAATCACAAGCCTTTGTTATCATTCTTTTTCTATTCTTAGCCATCCTTCTGATGAAATCCTTTCTTCTATTCTTTTAGTATAGTTTTAATATAATATATATAATAAAATAATAAATCAAGCCTTCTGAAACATGGAGTCAGATCCTCATCTCTTCCCTTATCCTAACACCCCTGTGAACACCACCACAGCCATCACCCACCCACAGCACCCCAGCCCTGTGGATGAGGTCCCTGTGGCACCACAGTGAGGGTGGCAGAGGGGACAGGCAGTGAGTGACACCAGTGACACCAAGTGATGACACAAGCAGTGAGTGGCACCAGTGACACCAAGTGATGCCCACTGCACTGCTCCGACCTGCTGCCAGCCCACAGGGGCCACAACCAGGCTTGTGTTGAACACTGGGACACGGGAGGTGACAGGGACCCACTGCACAGCCAGGACTGGCAGCAATGCCAGCAATGCCTGGCAAAAAACAATGGCACAGTGACCACTGAGGTCTGTGAGGGTGGCTGGGCACTGGAACAGGCTCCCCAGGGAAGTGGTGATGGCACCAAGCATGCCAGAGGTCAAGAAGTGTTTGGACAACACTTGCAGGCACATGGGATTCTCGGGATGTGCAGAACCAAGAGTTGGATTTATGCTGATGCTCGAGTCCCTTCCAATTCATGACTTTCTGTGATAATTTTTGCACAACCCCAAAATGAAAGCTGCTTTGATGAGCTGGAGCACACAGTGAGGTTCCTGTGTCCTCAGGTGGCACAGCCCAGGTCACTCCCAAAACCCATCAATGCTTTAGCACCCCGAAACCCCTCGGTGCCAGCTCCAGGCTGGATCTGGCTGGAAAGCGCAGCTGGGCCGGAGGGAAGGGGCTCGGTGGCTCCGTGGGTGTGGGCACCGTGCAGGGGGCATGGAGGGAGCATGTGGCACCACATGGGCACCACGTGGGGTACGGGGATGTTATGCAAGCCCTCGCCCAGATCTGTCAGGCGCCCGCTGCAGCGGGACAAGGGCTGGAGGAGGAGGGGAAGGGGGTGGCGAGGTGGGAAAGCGAAGAAGCGCCGGTGACATCTTCTTCATCTGCTGCAGCTATGACTCATCGTGGGGGGGAAGGAGCAGAGAGAGACAGATAAAGAAAGCAAACCTTGACTGGTGGGATAGGGAGATGAAAGGGAAGCAGTGGCTTTTCTAGGGCGCTGTGTTCGGTGGGGTGAGAGAAACTGTGGATCCTACCCTGAGAGCCTCTGCTGCCAAAGGGACAGCAGCAGCCTCCTGCACCAGGTCACCAGCTGGACAGTCCCCATGTCCCCACACTCTTTGGCTGCTCATATGGGGAGGGAAGAGCCACTAGAACCCAGCCCTTGCACAGGGTGTGCCAGGAAAATCCTCTATTATTCTGCCCTCCCCTGTATGAGGCAGCACCTGCACCCCAATACAGGGGCACTACCCACACCTCCTGCATGTCCCACCCTGCCCTGCAATGCTGGCTGGGTGTCACCAGCTCCTGTCCCCTGCCCACAGCCCCATGCCCCAGCTCACCCCCATGGCAGGCACTCACCACTGCTGCACCTCCTTCTCTGTGACTGCAAGAGAAAACAGGAGAAAAGAAGAAAAAAGAGACAGAAATTTAGTGCTTTTGCAGTGCCAGCTGTTCCTCTGCACTGCCCACCAGTGAATTCCCTGGGGGATGCTCTGGGGCTCCCAGCAATGAATTCCCTGGGGGATGCCCCAGGCCTCACTGGCTCCATGAGCTGCCAAGCTTTCCCCATGTGGCAGAAAATGCTTTTGAGGCACAGCCTGGGCCAGCCCAGGTGGTGCATGGGGCCAGGGCTGCAGGTGCTGGGGACCCCCAAAACCAGAGAGACTCCCTGTGTTGTGCTCAGGGAGTGCAGAACCATGAAGGAACATGAAGGGGACAAGCTGATCATGCCTGGGGAGGATCTGGCCCTGCTGCCTCATCTTCCCAGAGCCAAAACATCCCCAAAAACATCTGCCTGGAGGTGGCTCAGAGAAGGGACTTGCCTGGCCCTGGCACACTGAAGGTGGGCACAGGGTTGGCATCCCCCAGGTACCAGCTGGATAAACATCATCAAACCCATCCCAGCACACTGGGCTCTGAAAAACCCCCAAAATACAACAAACCAGCAAACACACAGCACTGCAACCCCAAGTGTCCCCACCAAGGGGCAGCTGCTGAGATGAACGATGTCCTCAGCAGAGGGAAGGCTCTGAGGGATGCTGGGCAGGGCTGGCACTTGTCACTGCTGTGTCCCAGTGCAGGAGCTGTGTCTGAGCCTCCCCACAGGTGCCAGCAGGTGGGCACAGGGGGGAACGGCCTCTTTTGTCATTTCCTTTGCATCTAAATAGCGATAAAAGAGCCGCGGGTCTGAAAGGCGCGGGGATAATGAGGCAAGTGGAGATGTCAATGTGCAAGCGGCCGATAAAAATAGAGACCGGGGACACACCAACAGATGCCAATTACCTTGGATGGCAAGAAAAATAAAGCAAGCAATTTTCCATCAGGAAGATTTGTGACGTGCCTGGCGGAAGGTGCAGAGCTCAGAGGTGAGGGCTGGGGCAGCCAGGAGGGCACACAATGGCTCCCACCCTATCACCAGCTGGATTCTGGCTCCTGCATCCCTGTCAGTGGGAATTTCTGTGCCCAAGGCTGTCCCCATGCATTGGAGGGTCCCTCCAGCCCAGCACTGGGGTCGCTGGAGGGGCAGATCCTTCAATTCCCCATTTTTCCCTGAGGTTCAGCCAAAGCAGCACCCTCTGTAGCACCATGGGGTGTCAGACAGCAGCTCCCCAGGAGAGGGGACACAGGCACAGGGATGCTCAGCATGTGGGATGAAGGACATGGAGGGCTTTGGCAGTGCCACAGCAGGGATATGGAGGGATGTTTGGTTTGGGCACACAGCAGTCTCTTGGCAGGAGGGAGGCAGGAAGGACACACTGCACCCAGCAGCCAAGCTGGGGTGGGCTAAAACATCAATCACAGCAGTTCCAAGGGATTTCCCCATCCCAAAAAACAAAAAAAGGCTTGCACAGAAGCGTCCTTCCAAAAGAGAGATGCTGAGTGACATCTCCAAGAGGAGCACACCTCCCTGCCCTCACCTGCATTGAGGCACCAGGCCTGACCTCCACCCTGAGGATGCCCAGGGGATGCCCCAGGCACCAGCTCTGCAGGCCCGGGCATCCACAGGCACCAAGGGGGGCAGGTGGGAGGAGGAGGATGATGGTGAGCCCTCGGGGCAGGCAAAACGCAGCGCAGCAGCACCCGGGGCTGCAGTCAGAGCTCGGCTCAGCCCCTCCAGGCAAATCGTTTTCTGCTCTCTCTTGTTCGGCTGCTTTTCCCCCACCGAGTTATTCTGGGCCCGGGAGCTGCCTTTCAACTCCAGCAGGAAACAATTAAGAAATTTGTGCTTTTTTTAGTTCGGGAGAAATGCTGGTAATGCCAGCTCGGGAGGGAGGGCCGGAGCCAGCTCCCCTCGTGCCGTGCTGCAGGAGATGTGTGATGCTCCCAGGAGAGGCTTTTCCGACGGGGGAACCGCTCAGGTGCCAGGCTGGGAATCAGCACAGGGCTCCCGAGGAGTGAATTGCTAATGTGCATCCTGGCATGGAGCCACACGGAGCCCATCCCTCCTCCAGCAGGCTGGAACCGCTGCCTCTCCTCCAGCTTTGGGTGTGGGGAATCCGTGGGGTTTGTCCTGGGGTGGGAGCGTGGCCTCATCTCGCAGGCCTTGGAAAAACACCCAACTCTGCGTTCGCCCCTCCACTGCCACCAAATCTCCCATCTGACCAGGGGCAGAGTGTCCCCAGAGGAACCACCCCAGGCCTGATGCAGTGGCTGAGCAGTACCTGCCTCTCTGTACCTGCTGTAATGATCCAGGACAGGCGATGACTTCCCAGCTGCCACCTCCCAGCCCTGCTGGGGTCACACTCCAGTGGCACCGATTAGGAATGCTAATACCCGACTTGCAGCCACAGAAGCCTTGGGGATACGCTGCTTGAGTGTGTGGCTGTCCCGAGGCTGGGGACACAGTGGGGGACAGGGCTGTCCCTCTGTCCTGCACTGCCTAGCCGGGCTCACAGGCACTCCCTGTGCTGCATTTCCTTCCTTCAGCATCGATCATAGCGCGGTGCTGAACCCACACACATCAATTCTCAGCCATATAAACCTTGGCCAGGCGTGCCCCCGACCCCCCAGAATAAGGGGATGACCCACAGCATTTCCTCCAGAACAAGGGGGTGACCCATAACATCCCCCCAGAGCAAGGGGGTGACCCACAGCATCCCCCCAGAACAAGGAGGTGACCCACAGCATCCCCCCAGAACAAGGAGGTGACCCGCAGCATCCCCCCAGAGCAAGGGGGTGACCCGCAGCATCCCCCCCAGAGCAAGGGGGTGACCCACAGCAGCACCCCAGAGCAAGGGGGTGACCCACAGAATCCCTCCAGAACAAGGGGGTGACCCACAGCATCCCCCCCAGAGCAAGGGGGTGACCCACAGCATCCCCCCAGAGCAAGGAGGTGACCCACAGCATCCCCCCAGAGCAAGGGGGTGACCCACAGCATCCCCCCAGAGCCCCTCACTGGAGCAGGACCGGCTCCCACCCGGGCCAGGTCCGGGTCCCACCCGGGCCAGAGCCGGGCTCAGCCGCCGTGCCGCGCTCCGGGCCGGGCTATAAATAGTGCCCGTAGCAGCTCGTTAGTAGCGGCGTGCCCCGGGCTGCTCGGGGATGAAAGGCGCTAATAAAGGCAGCGTTATCGTTTGTTATGAACCGCAGCGCTGGCAAGAGGCATCACCGAGCACGGAGCCCCCAACGCAGCCCCGCAAAGAACGGGAGAACATGGGACACTCAGGGCAGGAGCGGGGACAGGGAGAGGGACAGGCACCCAGAGTGGCTCAGGAGCTGCCCCACACGGCCAAACCCCATCCAAGGGCCCTCTCTCTCCGCCGGTCTATTCCTTTCCTATCCCACCTCAGTGAGAAGGTTTTGGCGTCTCTCTCACACAGGGCAGAGCCTCGGAGCAGCCGCAGCCCCCTCCCCGCAGCTGCCGCTACCTGGCTCTCCCCCCCAGGCCTCTCCCCCACCGCTCCATCAATGCCAGTGGCACAGGCGAGGAGTGACAGCTCCGTCACCACCCGCCCTCCGCGGGCCCCCTCTCCTCCCACCAGCCAGCTGCCACTGCAGCAAGAACCAGCTCTGGTTAATCAGTGCTCAAGCCTGTTAACTTGTGTTTTCCAGGCAGAGGGGAGAGGAGAGGAGAGGAGGGACCCTGGACTGCAAATCCCCATCCCTGCCCTGCCGCAGGGAGCTCGCTGGACAGCGGGGCGGCAGAACCTGGGTTCAAATGGTTCAGGAACCCCTGGTCACGGCGGGATGCAGGAGGTGAAGTGATGCTTCAGCCCCCCAAGGGTTTGTTTTGTGCTGACATCCCTTCCCCTGTGTGCAGGGCAGAGCTTTGGCCACGCCGCAGGGCTGCACCCCGATCAGGGCTGTGCACACCCAGCTCAGCTCCGTGTGCCAGAACCAGGGCACGGCTCTGTGCTGGTGCAGGTTTGGCTTCCCGGAGGCTCAGCAAGCACCGTCCCCACGCAGCAGCAGTGAGGAATCTCCCCTGAGCCCCCACAGGTTCCCCCTTGCCCCAGCTGCCCCTCTGATCCCGCGGGGCACCGCAGCCTTATCGGGGAAACCAGTTAATTATTTCCAGGCACAAAATGCTTCTCTCAGTGCCACAGGGCACTGCAACCATGCCGGCTCAATGGGCTGTGCCAGCAGCACACACTGGGTCAGCCCTGTGGCATTTATTTCCCCCAGGGATCTGCTGTGGCTCCTTCACAGTGTCCCCCGGGCATCCCAGTCTGGGGGAGCCGGCACATCACCCCAAAATGGGGCTCCCATCGGGTTTGGGGCTGCCTAAACCGGCTCGGGGTGCTCAGAGCAGTGTCCAGGCCGGGGGGAATTAAACACCCACAATGGGCGCTCGGCCGTGAAGGAATGGGGCATTTATGCACGAACCAAGTGGGCACCCCTGCCTGAGCCAGAGGGCCACTCATGCAAAAACACAGCGGGACATCATGCGTGGGCTAATTGGGCACTCGTGCATAAATTATGCATAATTCTAGGTGAACAAATTGGGTGCTCATGCATGAACCGCCCGGGTGCTGCAGCGAGAGTGCGAGGGCAGCTCATGCACGAACCAGCTGGGGGCTCATGCATCCATTTTTTTGGGGCATTCATGAATTCACAGAGCGCTCATGCACGGATTAATTCAGCAGTCACACGTCCGTTCGCTGGGCACTCCTGCGTGAGCTAATTGGGCACTCATGTGTAAATTAGTGTAATTAGGAGATAGCACACTTGTGCACGTACTAATTGGGCACTCAGGTGTGAATGCATCAGGTGCTCATGCATGAATTAATTGGACATTCAGGCATGAGCTAATTGCAGCCACGTGCACCAATTAATTGGGCACTCATGCATCAACAGCCGGAGCGCTCATGCACGGAGCAGCAGCGTGTAATCCAGCGGGAATTCGCTGGGCAGCCATGCATAAACCCAGCTGGGTGCTCGTATGCAAATTATTAATTGTGTGCTCATGTGTGTGTTAATTGGGTGCCCACGCGTGAATTAATGGGGCCGATGTGGACGAGCCCGGGGTGCTCATGCGGCCCCGCACACCCTGCAGTCCATGCCAAACACACTCCGCCCCTCGTCCCGCCGAAACACGTATTTAAGAATTTTCTGAGCGTCAATCTGATACAAACTGCACTCTCACACCATCAAAATGTTCATATTGAGCCATTAGGAGCGCCCGCTCCCTCCTGCCCGGCTCAGCATTTTGTGTGTGTGTGTGTGTGTGTGTGCTCACCCCGCTGCACTCCAGCCCCAGAATCACAGAGTCGGCATCAGGGTCTGCACAGCCCCTGCAGAATTCGCCCCTGGTCCCTCGGAGTGACCCCAGCTC